ACACGTGTTACGTACGACTCATTATCAGTTTCAGTCAGTTCGTTTCCAATAGTCGATCGCATAACATCGAGAGAACAATATTGTTTGTATTTTCAAATAATAATTCTAAACTAGCTGTAAGTGGAATTCTGTCTTGAGGCAATTATGGCATCGTGCCTTAAGGCAAATTGTTGGTACTTTTCGAGGAATATTGAATGTTTTCAAATAGATTATTATTAATATTGTAACAGTTTCTAATATTTATAAGAATTGTATAAACTGAATTGCAAAGTTGAAATTATTTATTTAAAGTCTATTAGAACTTTAGTCAGAATTAAAAATAAAATCAGAATTGATTTCGATATACAAAATTTAAACAATTTTTTTCCAAATCAATTATTTTGTTAACACAAGCAGAAAGTTTTAGTAATCATTTAAATGTATGTGTGCGTATGTGAGTTTTGTGTGTCCGATCAACCGATTGGAATGGTTCAAAAAACATTTGATTCCTATTGATAGGAAAATGTGCTGATTTGCGTATAATTGTGTAAAAGTAATAATATGCTAATCGAACTACCCGATAACCCGATAATTCTCGAATGGAAATAGTAGAAGAAAAATTTAGAAAGCAGAAGTATTATGTTATGCTTTTATTACAAAATTTATTACATATTTTTTATATGAAATTTATCCAAAAAATCAATTTTCTCATCAAATAAAATAATTAAATTGAATTTGATTCTCAAGTTTTGCGTTTTTACTTTGGTCAACATTACTAAAATTACGAGTCATTATTGAGTCGAACATGTGGTCGACCAAAAAATGATTGAGTCGATCATCAAAAAATTTTACAATCTGTCATTTATTTGTGAATTTTTTAGAAAAATTATTTTATTGATATTTAATTATAAATTTTCTTGTCGTCTGATGCCTAGTGAGCTTTTTATAGCAAAAAATTACCAGCTAATTGTTAGTAAGATCGCCTTCTCGACAATAGCAATAGTTTTTTCAATATTTTGCAAGTTACCAAGCAATCGAACAATAAACTTTTCATTAATGTGTATATTCTGTTAATGCAAATGTTACAAAATCAGTGTTTGGAAGGCACTCGAAGTGTTTAACATCGTGTCGGTCGTGTTTTGTTTTGATTTTGCAGACTTTGTCTTTTGTCCTTGTCGAAGGTCGTTCCGTATATTGCGTGTAGTGTGCGATTTTAACAAAATTATTTGCAAATTATATAGTAAGTATTATATATATATACATACATTATATATATATATATATATATATATATAATATTATATATATAATCACGTACTATTGGGATCTTGCTATAAGCCCTTAATAATTTCTTTGTAATTTTTTCATAAATTCATGATCACTCACCGATTTCAATGATTTTTTTTAAATTTGTGATTACTTACAAATAACTTATAATATAAATTTCCGACTATAAATTGATATTCACACTATCTTTGAAACTAACATGGATAAATATCTGAGGAATTCGAGTCCAAATCTATTAAATGTTTGATTTTTGGCACTTTTATTAATTTTTTATCAATTTTCGTACTGTAAAATAATGGACGATTATTTATCAAAATTGTAATATTTATACTATAATTTTAGATGAATACTATCTATTTTGGCATCGCAATTAATTTTTTTTATAGTTTTTATTTGAAATCAAGTAATTGCAAAAAATCTAAAATGAAAATTTTTATATATCTTTAAGTTTCAAAGATTTCTGAACATTTCGGCACACCTTAAGAAAAATGGATGTATTTGTGTGTGTATAAAAGCCATTTGGCGAACAAAATATGCACATCAAACTATCAGATATTTTGTAAAGATTTTAATAAGTACAAATTTTGTTTACATTACTATGCATTCCGTTAGACTGCAACGCGGCGTTTACGCGCTTCGATATTTCGTCTCTAAGCAGCTAACGCAATTTAATTTAAATATACTTAACTGAAATTATGCCAAATAATACACAGTATTTTAAAAATTTTACATACAAACATAACTATTGATTATAAGAAAAAATAATTTAATGAAAACAAATCATAGAATAATAATTAACACAACATGAAAAAAATTAATGCGACGGTTGAGCTTGTTTTTTACCAAATCATCATATTTCTCAATGATAAATGGATTTCTAATCCATTCGTATTTGGACATATCTAGATCTTTAAAGTAATGCGAAAATTGGTTTCTTAGACTAGTCATATAATTGATAATAAGATCTTTACTTACTTTTATTTCATCAGTAACACAAGTAATTTTAAAGGTGGAAAACATTAGTCAAATTTATTAGTTTTCATACTAGCTATCCACAGTTTTAATTTTTTTATAAAAGCCGTAATCTTGTCTTTCTGAACAAAAGTATGAATTTGAGATCCTTGCATTGATTTATTTAAATCGCTTAGTCTTTGGGAAATATCAACTAAATAGGCAAATTTTGCGAAGAACTTCGTGTCTTAAAACAAACCTGCTTCATCTGTTTTGTTATCAGCAAGAAATATGGCAATTTCTTTTTTGATCCCAAACACTCTTTGAAGTACTTTAGCACGTGAAAGCCAACATCTTTGAAAAACATTTGTCCTGACAAAATTGCAGCGAAAATTGTGGATTTCTTGCACGTATTTTGCTTTAATAAAACGACTATGATAGTTTAATTTCTGTGTATTTATTTTTCAGTGGTAATAAATTTCAAGTTCACTGAATGACAGTTGTTCTATGCACAAAATTTGTTAGAAATTTATTTATTAATATTTCTAATTGATAATGTGATGTATTAATAATGTACCAAAGATAATTTTTTGTGATTTTTCAGTTTCAACATGGCGTGCAAGTGGAAGTTACTGTGATGGGGAATATGACTTAATACTGGCGAAAAATGCAATTGGCACAAAAGCTGAAGCAGAAGTTTGATTCAAAAATACTAGAAAATAATGATGAATCCATAGATATTGATGATAAACGTATAGGAAGTGAAAACAAAGTATTTAATGATGATGATGATGATGATGATGATGATATGTTGTTCACACAAAGTGATAATTAAACGGTAGTATTACAACTTAATAATACAATTACAAATTAACGAAGATGGAATTTCAAGAAATTTACATAATGATATCGAAATTGAGCTCTGGCGACCCTGGTTATAAGTTAGAATGAGACACTTGCAATTTAAAAATCAGCTCGGAGGAAATGAAAACCTCAAAAGTGACAGCTGCTAATTCATTTATCAAAAATTTAAATTAAATTTTTTTTGGTTATGTGTCAAAAATTATTAAAAATTATAATTTTCTAATTTATAATTATATAATTATAAATTTAAAATTATATAATTTTAAGTTTATTTTTTATCCTTATCATGTTTCGAAAACATCTCATGTCTGTGATATTATAGGTGCAAATTTGGAAATTAAGTATCTTTGCAAGAACAAGTCCTCAAATGGTGTTAATTGTTAATATAGTTGATTTAATTTGTATTTTTTATTTACTGGCGATTTAGCCAGTACAGATACAATGTATAAATAAGCTCATTAGAATATATTGTAAAAAAAACAAAATCTTTCTCAATCTCTTTTACATTCAATTTGATGCAGAAAAATAAATAAATAAATAATTAAAAAATTTTTTTTTTATTTCTATAACATTTTATATATTAAATAGATATATATTTTCGATTTTTTTTTTAAATTTTCAGTATCAAAAGAAGTATCAAATCAAGTATCAAAATTTCATAATTTAAGAAAAAACATTTTTCAATTATTATCAAATAAAAATATCGGGTTTTATTAAAATTTTCAATAATGTTCATAATTTGATCAATTTCAAAGCTATTGAATAATCTTAACTTGGCAATTTAGTTTCAAAAATGTGTATATAATAAAAATAAGAAATATGAGATAAGGTCCTCGGAAGACTTCCTAGTAGAATGCAATCTGTTTAGATTTTTTTATAAGATGTTTTCTTGTAAATATTGTTAGGGAGCTTTATGGTTCCAGATTTGGAAATTTATGTCCTGTTTTATATTTTATTAATTTAAATTCGAATAAACATTTTTAATAATTATCTGAAAGCATTTTATAATTTATATGAAAGCATTTTTTAATTTATAAGCATTTATAATAATTATTTGAAAGCATTTAAAACAATTGTTATTAATCATTGACCAAATAGTATTGATTGTTGATTATTTTTATTTCTGGAAATTCCTATAATTTGCTTTAAGGCACCACTAGTTAGTTAAACAGTATTGAGAACAAATGAATGTACCAAGTTCAAATTTTTGTCACGATTTTGTGGAACTATACTACAATCTCAGCTCTGAAGAAATTTTCAAAGACTACGAAACCGTTTACGAACCTTTGGTCAGGATGGACGTCATTTATTAAATTAAATTGCTCTACTCCATTTACCACTCTTTTTTTAATACATTTTTAATATTGATGTGAACAAAAATTGCAGAAATACCCTAAAAGGCTATTTATTTGAACTTGATATCAAATTTGAGGGTTGCAAGTGAAAATTTGATATCACTACTGCTTGATATCAAGCTGGCCAAAGTGATTATCAAACCTGGAACCACAGTCAGTTCTATAAAATTAGTTGATAAGAAATAATAAGTACCAAAGCAAAATTATTCAATTTATTTTCAATACATAATATGAAAATAAAAACAAATTGTGCATCGATATTTGTGGGCCAATTCTCGGATAAAATAGAAATGATATGTTAGGATAAATATTACCCCTAAGGTCTATATTCGTATGAGTTGGTAGTAACGAACTGTCGAAAAACTATGTATTTGCTGTGCGATCAGGCGTTTTACACATAAAACCTAACTTCGCTCATGTGTTATCAATGAGGCATCAGAAAGATGCACTTGTGATAAAATTGTTATTTGGAGATCAAATGCATAGTTTTTAAACAGTTTGTTACTACAAACTCATACGAATATAGACCCGTAACAATTTTATCTATTCATTACAATTGGCCCATTTGTTCTTCTACCAAATATTATTCTTTTTTTTAGTCGATTTCAGTGATGGTACACGTCGGAGCCACTCTAGGCATGACATCTTCTTCGATGATATTTTGATTATTAGATTTTGGATTTCTGAAAGTATTTCCAGTGCAGGCCATGCAGGATCTGAGGGCCTCTTGAGCGACATGGGTGTCCTTGTGCGGCCCTGAAGCCACCAAGTGGAATCTGTCCAGGGCCGAACAGAATAGCGAGATTGCTTCTTGGCCATTTTCTTCCTAGAAGGTAATAAAAAAAAAAATAAAAAATTCTCTAGTAGTATTTTTTTTATGAATTTAAATAGAAAATTTAAAGAAGTTTGCAATTACTTTATTAAATTCAGTTAGGATTTGTAGATGTTCTGAGACTGAATTAAATTTTTTTTTGTGGTTATTTTACTTATTGTTAGTTGTTGATGCAAATCATGGATTTAAAACCACTGGAGTACATAACTTTATACAAAATAGTTAATATAAAAAATGAAGTGTACTAGCAAATGAAATTGCAAAACTTTCTAACAATGTATAATACTTTATATGGTTTCTTTAGAGAAATATCAAATAGTGTGGATAGTTCTATACTGCAGGCTAAACCGTAAAAGATACGAAAAAAAATTATTTAGACAAAAGATGCGGATAAAATTACGAATAAAATGGTATATAAATGGTTAAGTGTGTTCATACAACTTTCTCGAGATTTTCCAATTTTCCCTAATTTTCACGACGGCAACTCGCCTGCAGGCCACACTGTGCAGAATTCGAAGTTGCGATATATGGAAAATAAACTAAGAATTTTGAGACTTTTCTAACGATGTATAATACTTTATATGTTTTCTTTACAGAAATATCGAATCGTGAAGTGTGTTGCTTCATCCTAACCGCACTTTGGATTTCAACAAGTGAATAATCACACAGATTGCCCTCTACAAGCCAAACCGTAAAATATGCAAAAAATTTCATTTGGACTAAAGATGCAGAATAAAATTACGAATAAAATGATATATAAATCTTAAAGTATCTTCATATAATTTCTTCGAGATTTTTCAGTTTTCCCTGATTGATATATTTTCTTAAATATTTTTCTATTGGTTGCAGAAATATTACGCCAGTGTTATGCTAAATTCTGAATAAAATCATCAGAAGTCATATTATACCCATAGATGGACTTCTAAATATAATTTACAGTTATTCGATAGTATTAGAAATGTTGTAACCTTTGTAGAAAATAATTCAGTTTGTCAGTGTGTTTATAAAAGTGCAAGTGAAAACATTGGTTGTGTAATCTCGTGGTAGAAGAAGCCTTTGACTATTTTTACTATTGGCTGAAGCATTTTGTCAAGTAAGTCGAATTTTGTTATATAATTTATTATATATATATATGTATATATAAATATGTATATTTATATATATATATATATATATATATATAGAAAATATAATTTCTTACCTCCATCAATTGGGCGGCGTCCTGATATTTTTGTTGACATTCCAATAATTCTAACATTTCGTCCTTCAAAACTACATTTTTTTTGCAACCGGTGCATCTGACTGGTTTATGTGGATCTGATGGCTTTTGAAGTAATTTTGTACATCGTGGACTTGGACACCTATTAATAAAAAGAATGAACTTAATTATCTTATATAGATAATGATTTAAATTACACTCATTTTATATGGCGAAAAGGGAATTTCATCCAATTTGTATAAGTTGATACAAACATTTTGCTTCCATATTAGAGTTTCATCTTTTGACTGATATTTCTTTTGTTTTATTTATAAATTTTATTTGGTTGATAAAAGTTAAATAAAATATTCCAGTTCTCTGAATACAAATTTTATCTTTGGTCGAAAATTACTGCACCGATTCATTTGATAAAACTTAATAATGATGATTAGTTCTGTTCGGTGATCTTTCCTTTTCTATGGAACTAACAGACTAATAAAACAAAATTGTGTTGTGTTTTGCAAGAGATCCTGAATCGTGCTGATTACTTTTTGGGCCTAATACGTTATAATCAACTGTAAATTTCTTTCATAACTTTTACCCTCCGACGGTCGGCGTGGTCTGGCCAGACTTTTTTCGACTTCAATTAAAAAAAAATACTTCTAGTAATCCTATCGGCTTGAAATTTCTCGACATTTCCTAAAATTTCACTAGCTGTCGATCAATGATCAAAATCAGGACGAAAAAATGTACAGAAGGATAATTATAAGGATATTAACTTTTTTATACTTCGAACGGTCGGAATGATCTGTCTAGACCCCACCCATACATTTTGTAAAAAATATACGCTTTTTGATATATTGAACCAGTTGTTTTTTTTCATGGTATTTTCTATTCAAACTGCGTTGTATATATTCTTTGCTATGTGTTGTAACATGAATGTTAGTATTTTCGTGACGAGAGTTGCTTGAAAACCTACCAAACTTATTGGTAATCGCAAACACTGAAAATCGGATGAGTAATGCACACATTATCAACAATTTTTCTACCCGTACTGCGTTCGAAATTTTTTTTTTGGCAAACCTGTATATGAAACTATATTTTCACTTTGAGTTTTACAGCTCATTTCAAAGGCGACGCACCTCATTTCGTTTTCATTTGAATTTCACATTCATTTCAAAGGCGCCGAAAAAGAATAAATATTATTTTTCATTGATATAAAACAGAAAAATTAACAAAGAAAGCAACGATTTTTTTATATTTTTTGATTTTTTTATGTAATATATAATGTAATATTTTTATTATAAGCAAGCTCAACACACGCAGAAGACGGTAAGAAAAAGAAAAAATCAAAACTATAAATATTTACTACTAATAATCGTTAATATATAAGACACCAAAAACTCATCTATCTCATATGAATGCATGTAAAATGAATGGTGGTCCAGCCAGACCACACCGACTGTTCAAAGGTGAAAAAATATCCGACCGACGGAGGGTTAATATATCAGAAAGATTTCAATCCTTATCACTAATTTGAATATTTTTAGACGGAGAGATATTAATTTTTGTCGTCACCTTATTCTTGCATTGTTGTCCATATTTTTGAACGTCGGCCAATCTTCTTGACAAGCTTGGCAGGAACATTTAAACCAGTAACGTGACCCTAAATTTCGTTGTCTTTCGGCTAGGGTCCTTTTTGTAAAAATTGGGCCATAGTTTTCGGAAATCATTTCACCGGCAGCAATAGGACGAACACATCGTAAAACTATGCGATCTCCGATAAAGTATCTGAAATAAAAAAAAATCACTACTTTAATTATTAAATTACTTGATCTATTTAAGATTTCATAACCAATAGAAATTGAATGCATTTATAAGGAATACCTCAGGTTTATTATTCTAACGGAATTTTAAGGAAATTTTAAATATTACAAGTGTATGAGAAAATTGGTTGAAATTTTGAAAAATAAGCTGTGAGTGATGGTTATCAGTAAAAGTGCGCCATTAATCACGTGATCGAAATTTTAGGGATTTTCGGACCCGTCATGATATTTAAAATTAACCCCTTTACCCCACCAAACATCACGTGAAGTTTGAAAATTTTGATAAGTTTAAGTAAGTTTGAAAAAATAATTACAATGAAAATATTTTTTGAGGACATCAATACTTTCTTTTTTAACAAAAATATTTAAATTTGTTTAATAAATTATCTCGCCTATACATATTTCATATTAGGCTATTTTTTCATATTTTTTCTTACCTTATAACAGATGGATAACAATCATGATTGAAAAGCGATCCAGTTGAGTAAACTGCAACGCCAATCGAAATTGGTTTTGAACCGGTGAATCTACAAAAATAAATTTCAAAATCACGTTTCAACAATATTGAATATAAATTTGTGAATATAATTTTGCAAATAAAATTAATTTACATGTGATCCGGTCCCAAACGTGTTTCATACATCTCATGCGCGTTGAACTGCAACATTTGCAGTAGATGCACTAATGTTGCAGCTATTTGGATTTGTTCATCTGTGAAATTTACTGCAAAATACCAATAATATTAAAAAATTATTGCAACTAAAATTAGACAGAAACTATATTAACACGTTAATAGACAGTAAAAAAATCAGCAAGGTACAAAAATTGATAATTTTTGGGTTGTGATTTCCGAAATTTGATTAAACACTGTTTATTAGGATAGTCAAGTCAGATTATCATATTATAATTGTTATATACGATGAATGCTTTAGTATCCACGTCAAGTATTACTCTTGAATTTTACGCAATGTGCTTGCCAAGATAAGATCAAACAAAAATACATAAGGAAACAGTTAGTCTTCACCTTGACAGGAATAATAACTACAAAAACGTACGGTTACATAACAATAAATTCAAAAATCTTGACTTTAAAATTTGAATGCTATAGCATCCACGTCATATTACATCACAATAAAGATGAATGCTCAAAATGAAGGACAAAATCGTTTCCATTACCTTGTTTAGTTTTATTGTCCGATTCCTCTTGCCCGAAGAATCCCGAACGTTTCAGACACGTGGTCAAAAAAAGGGCCATCAAGGCCCTCATGGCGTAGTCTTTGGGGGCCCTTCGGTCTCTGTGCGTACATAATTTACTAAAAATCCCCGAATCGCCGGTTAGTGAACCAAGGGCCTTACTTGGTGTTTGGTGTTGGCAAACTAATCTTAGGGCCAAGTGGCATAGGATACTCATTCCGGAACCTGGGGCAAATGACACAAAACATATGTTAGTTAACACTTTCGGGACGGCACCGATTTCAAAACAATCTACTTTACCGACTGTAAGCTTGATTTCATTGGGTATGTTATGCAATTTGTTTGATAAAAATGTGTGATCATTGAAGGACATACATTTATAATATTAATTTATTTTTGATCATTTTATGAAGAATCGCGACGTTCCAAACAATTTCCAAAATGCATAGCTGGTTGATTTTGACATGTTTTACAATAAAATGTGTTTCGTTGCCTTACTCTGGTGCTTTTCTGTCAGAACAACAATACAATCCCTTTTTCTTTCACTCGCATTTAGAATATGCCACTGATTAGTCAGTATATTTGTCCATTTTTTTTGTTGTCGTAATGGTTTGTTTTTTTCTATTATATTGTCTAATAATTCATTTGTAAAATATAAAGTAAAATAATCTATCGGATGTCTTATATTACTTGGTATTTGTAGTCGGGGTGTTTGTTGATGTATGTCAAACTCGATTATTGAAGGAGAATTGGCACATTCGCTAATGTCTTCCCGCTCTTCATTTAATTTGTCGAACTTCTTCTTCTTTTTGTTGGTTGGATAATATCATCATCACATTCATCGCTATCATCGGTGCGAATAGTAATTTCGTAAAATTTGTCTGTATGAATGTCTATTTGAAACTCATCTTCACTACTGCTTAATTCACAAAATTCACCTGTCGTTTTGCCATATTTGAAAGCGCTCGGTCGTTTTAAATATTAAAATGAATACTATATAGCAAAGAAAAAGGCTAAATATACTACTAAAATAACTTAAAAATATTTTCAAAATACAATACTGTTTATCACTGCTATATGTAATTTATTCAACTTGTCGATGCAACTGAGTCATTGTTTATAAAATAGCCTGTGCCTCACAGAGTTTGTTTGTCCACTCAGGTGGACAGCCGTCACCAAAGTGTTAAATGTGATTGACTGAATGAACTTAATGATGATTGAATATACTCGACATGGAGAAGTGGTCAAATTTTGTGTATTGACGGGTATATTTGTCATGCATGTAAGAGAGTGGACTATTTACTGTTTTGACTCGAAATTTTTGAGTTCCCAAATTTTAGGATGTTTAGATTTTTTTGGAAGTTGTAAGTTGTTTTGTGAATTGTTGTTTTTATTAGTATCTATTTATTGTTACAATTTCGGTAATCCTAATTACATTCTGTAAAAGCTCTTTTCACTTGAAAATATATTCTTATCTAAATTTCCTAGAAAAAACCTGAGCCTAATGTCTCTACTGCCTCAGGAAGTCAAGCCGCCCCTAGCTCTAACCACTTATCCACGGAAAAGAGCCTTCGTCTTTAATGTACAATTATTTTGTTAGTTTTTATATAAACTTACCAAATAATAAATCTAAATAATGGCATTCGTATCGATGATAAGTTTCCAGTGATTTGTCACGACATTTTGTTGAACAAAATGCAACTGCTGCACAGTCTGTACATCCTATAGGAGCTTGTAATCTGCAAAATTGATAAAATCTCAAATATATTATAAACATAAAATATATAAATATCTGAAGCGATTAAATAGAGCGTCAGATCTATTATTTCTTTGCATTTATCAAAAATCTATGAAACACTCTCTGTTAATTTCTCCTTATTAAGCAGGTAGGAGTGAGGAATTTCGCACAGGTACAACTTAATTTGTCGTAAGGTCTGCGACTTTTGAAATTAAAACTAATAACAAAAGCAAAAAAAACTAACATTTATTAAATGATCACTAAATAGAATTACTAAGGAAAAAAAATCAGGATTATATTGTCGACGTAATAGGCTTACAATTAAACCAGAAAAACCAGTGGTGTATGGCAAATTGCTCGAACTTCCCGTACCGTAACGAAATGTTCGAAGAATACTGAATGTATTCAAATAGATTATTGTTAATATTGTAACATTGTCTAATATTTTTAACTTTTTTTGTTATTACAGAATATTCGAGCAAAAATTGATTTTTTATATAAAATTCGAAAGCCGATTAAAACCGGTTTTTTAGTAAAATTAAAATTCGAAAACCGGTTTTCTGAAATGCCGGTTTTTGTATAAACCCTAGTGTCGACTACCATATTTGTAACTATAACAAAGTCAGTCGAGACAGACTTATAAATAAAATAATTATCCATTTCAAAGAAACTTGAGAAATGTTTCAGTAGTTTTTTATAGCATTATCAAACTAGCTGTAAGTGGAATTCTGTCTTAAGGCAATTAGGGCATCGTGCCTTAAGGCAAATTGCTGGAACTTCCCGCACTAAAAACTATTATTTTTTTTAAAAACGATTAACATTTTTGAAAAAAAAATCACTTCGAAAAAATAAGATTTTTGAGAAACTATAAATTGGACAAAAAATTACTCTTTTTTGAAAAAAAAAAAATTTTTTTTTTTTAAAAAAAAAATTTTTTTTTAATTTTTTTCTTTTTTGAAAAAAAATTTTTTTCTTTATTTTGACATATTTTGGAAGATCTGAACTTGTTTTTCAAAGCAATCGTACTGCTTTAACTGCATAGAGACAAAATATAAAGCGCGTAAGCGCGGCGTCGCTGTCTAACGGGTAAACATTGATACGGAACCCATAGGAAAATAAACAAAATTTATACTTATTGTTAAAATCTCTATAAAATATCTGAAAATTTGATGTGCATATGTCTAATGATCATTTTTGACCGCCAAATGGCATTTTTTTTTACTTTTTTCGTTAGATCAATTCTTTACCTTGTCAATACAAGTAAAATGTTTTTTGAATTATTAAAATCGGACGCTCCGTTCTCTTAAAAACTGAGTTACCGTTTTCGGCACTTTTTGCCCCGTATCTCCGGAACGCCTAGACGTGCCTTTGCCAAAAACTAATCAGCACGTCTCCTTATCAATACGAATCGAATGTTTTTTGACTTATTCAAATCGGTTGATCGGTGTTCCCGAAATCGTCCACGAAAATTTGTATCCGTACATATACACACACACACACACACACACATACATCCATTTTTTCTAAGGTATGCCAAAATGTTCAGAAACCTCTGAAACGTAAAGATAAATAAAAATTTCCATTTTCAATTTTTTTGCGATTACTATAACTTACCCTACGGGAAGTTAAAAATGTCATTTGGCAGACCTTTTATAAATTTCAAATATCAGTTACCTTTACCTTTCGAAGCAATGATAGCAGTGCGTTCCGTATTTGTCATGAGAAAGACATGCCCCAAGGGGCGATTCTACAAGAACGGTATCGCCCGTCTTCAGAGGCTTCGTGGCGACCACGTATCGTCCGGCGCTCCCAGGGTCTTCTCTGACTCCCATATTAGCGCAGGCCCCCGAGAGGGATGCGTGTTTACCGCCGGACAAAGGGGGCAACTGCGTTGTAGAATCTGAAATGTAATAAAGTCACACTGGTATTAAATAGAAATTACTTCAATTGTAATTTTTTCCGCACTCCATAGAGGCGCCACTAACTTTAGCATGGAAATTTATTCCTAGGTTTCATTCTGGATAATATCTTATATATAAAAATAAAGCTCTTGATCAAATGATCCGGTAAAACTCGAAAACGGCTAAACCGATTTGGCCAGTCTTAGTCTTGAAAAATTCGTGCCAATCCAGGGATGGTCGGAACGGTGAGATATTATTTCAAATCCGCGTAGAAACTTTACATTTTTAATTTGAATTTTTTTGTAGAAGCCTAATTTAAATAAAACAATGGACGGTGGCTAATACGTGAAATGTCAAACGTTTTTGACAGATGATGTTCAATTATGTTTAATAGGATGTTTTACGTGAATATTATTTATGTTCACATTGTAGTAATTATTGTAGTATTTATTTTACCTCCAATTTTTAACTTCTTGTCAGGCTGTTCTTTTTCCATCATCTCCAATTCAAGAAGATCTAGTTCTAGGCGAGCCAATGCTTCTTGATCAACAATTTCTTCCAACATTCGTTTGGAAAGACCAAATGAAACTCTTGCTCGGGCGTACTCACCAATAACTGAAATAAAATCATGGTTTGAAATTTTTTTTTTTAATTTTATTTACAAATGTGTTGAATCCAAGAATTTTTTCGCTTATTTTTCGCTAACACATTTGCGGACAGTAGAAGTACTAAAATTGTTATTCACTTTATTAACTTCCCGTAGGGTAAGTTATTGTAATGGGCCAAAAATCGAAATTGAAATTTTTTACATTTCTCGACGTTTTGATGGTTTCTGAACGTTTTGGCATACCTCAGAAAAAATGGATGTGTGTGTATGTGTGTGTGTGTGTATGTATGTATGGATACAATTTTTCGTCCACGTTTTCGGGCGCACGGATCAACCGATTTAAATGGTTAAAAAAACATTCGATTTCTATTGATAGGGAGATGTGCTTATTAGGCAAATGCAGGTCTAGCAGTTACAGAGATAAAGAGCAAAGAGTGCAGAAAATATAAATTGAGTTTTTGAGAGAATGAAGCATCCGATTCGAATGATCTAAAAAATATTCAATTAGTAATGATTTGGAGAAGTGTTTGTCAGTTTTTGGCCAAGTCAGGCCCAGCCATTTTGGAGATACAAGGCTAAATGTGCAAAAAATGGCAGTTTTTGAGATAATCAAGCGTCAGATTTAAATGATTCAAAGAACTTTTGAACGTTTTAACAAAATAATTGATTTAGAAAAAAAAAATGTATTAAATTTTTTTTTAATTTTTTTTTTCAAAAAAAATTTTTTTTTTGTATATCGAAAATAATTCAGATTTTATTTTCAATTCTGACTAAAGTTCTAATATACTTTAAACAAATGATTTCAACTTTGCAATTCAGTTTATATAATTCTTATAAATATTACACAATGTTACAATATTCATAACTAGCTGTACCCGTTCACGCTTTGCCGTGATTTAGTTTAAATTAGAAAGGTGAACAAAGATGTACATTTAGTTTAACGTTACTGCTATCTGTTCAACAATTTACCTATTCAACAATTTGTCTACTAATTTACCTATAAACCCGTTTATCAATCTACCATTTTATCGGCCTACAAATTTACCTGTCATTCCATTCCACATGTCTACCAATTAACCTGTCAACCTGTTTATTTGTATATTCTACTGTATATTTGCCTATCTACCAGTTTTTCTCTCTACTATTTTACCCGTCCACCAGTTTACCATTATAAATTCTCTAATTCACCTTATTTATTTACGCATTATAAAACAATCAAAACTCATATTGATTCTACGTTTTAGTTAGAAAACGTTTGTATTTGGAAAAGAAAGGGCTGTTTTTAGGCTTTTCCCGGCAATTAATTGATTTTTTCTTGTCGTAAGAACCATCCTGGGACTTCAACAAGCATTAAAAAAAAAAGAATTGGCCAAATTGGTCCAGGCGTTGTTGAGTTATGCGCTTACCAACACATTTTGCTATTCATTTTTATATTATAGATAATCTATTTGAAAACATTTAATATTCCTCGATCATTTTAGGCACGATGCCATACACCACTAGTTTTATTTATAAATTGTTGTGATATTAAAAATTTCAAAAGACCTTCAATAAGAATAGTTGGATTATCATAATACAAGCGTTATATACGATGAATGCTATAGTATCCACGTCAACTATTTACTACTATTTTGTGCAATGTGCTTGCGCAAGCTAATTACCGTTCAAAAATCTACAGAATCAGTTAGTCATTGTGTTGACAAGTATAATAATTACAAAACAACGTCAGGTTATATATAATCAAATGTCATTCTGTTGAATGCTATAGCATTCACGACCGCGAATGTGTTAAATATGTTTTGAGTCTTTTTTTTCACCTGTGTAACATTTTCCCATACGTCTATACATTTCTCCTTTCTGAGTTGATGGCAGACCTGTCTTCATAGCTTCTTGTAGATCTGATATTGCCAAAATTGCTGGAACACATTTTTTTGGGGTTTCACATAAAATGGCTTCGTTTTCTGGTAAGGCACTTAGGGCACTCGCCCTGCACCATAAAGCTAAGGGAAGACTTAGACCGGCGTCTATAGAATTATCCGCTCCTAAGAAATAAATTAAAAATAATTTTTTAGTAATAATTATTACTATTAAATAATATTTTTAATATATTTCTTAATTATTAATTAACAAACCCGTCGAACTCCATTTCGCCACCAGATGGTTTCGTGAGAAAGATGAAGAAATTTTTTGTTTGTTTTATATTCTAAAAGGAAAAATTTGATTTCATTACACAACAGTAATGAATTTATTTCGATTACAAAAATGAAGTGTTTTTTAGTTGAACTTCTCTAAGTAAATAAAAGTGAATCCGCAAATTATCCGTTTCATTGAAGTGCCCTTTGGTAAACCACATTTTTTGTTTTTTGGTCTGACGTTAACACAAACAATGCGGATGGTTTCCCAACTCGTGAACAGGCAGCAACGTATAACTGCCCATGTGAAAAACAATGATTTTCTAAATAATCTATTTGAAAATTATTCCGCAAACACTAAGCGATTGGCCTTGCGACTTGTTATCGCGAACGCAAGGCGAACTGGAAATTGCAATCGTTTGAAGTCAAACGAAAGACCAGTCGGAATCATTGGTATGTCACCAAATCGCCAGAAATTTTTGATTGAATAATAAAATTCAGTGCGTGTACATCATTGTTCTTTGCGGCAAGAATTGATCGTTGACTTAACCAAGCATAATTCTGATAATTCTCACTAAAGTTATTACTCGAATATTTAATTACGGTGCGTGAAGTTCCAGCAATTTGCATTGAGGTACGATGTCATGCACCACTAATTTTCTTAGCTATAAACCTTGCGGGGCCCGAGATATTTCCAACGAATGCAAAATTGTCGAAATCGGTTTGTGCGTTTTGGAGTTATATCGTCAGGAAGGAAAACCCGACTTATTTTTACATATATGTAGATTATAAGATTTTTTCAATTACCTGAAATCGGTGCCCTAAGTACAGCTTGACTATATAGGGCAACTGCCTTCCTCGGACTTCCCGCCCTTAGGGCCAAATCTCCTTGAAGGCGCTTTTCTCGGGACACCGCGGCGTCTTTACCGCGGTATAGGGCGACAACCCGCCCTAAGGTGTCGAGGACAGCTTTCGAAGACTAAAAAAAGCAAAAACTTAAATTTCAAATTGTATCCAAGCATATCTACTTATTTTAGATGCATTGGAAAAAATTACTTTATTCCAAGACTTAATTTTTTTATTTCCCCCGTCGGTTGTAATAAGTTTTCACTGTTTGTGAGACCTATATATTGTGTTCTAGAAATATATCTGCGTTAATAAAAGCACAAAAGTAAACCTGGTAGGAAACAATTTGCGCAAAATCAACAAACGGAACGATTCGTCCGGCGGGAGTACCAGATTGTTTCATTACTCTGAACATGTGTAACACAATTGTGGAACATAGTACATAAAAAATTTAAAATACCTATTAAATAGTAAAACGAACTACGGGAACCAGTATTTTATGTGTAAAATTAATAATATAATTTGACGTAAAAGAATAAAATAATCTAAGAAGGAGTTATTACACAATAGTTAAGTTCAAGTATGAACTTAATTAATTTCATCATTTTCTGTACAATTCTTACATATATATTTCTTATACATTCATCATATATATACTATCTCTTCTTATATCCTAATCTTCCATTCAATTTTCTTTCATCAATTCCATTCAATTTTCATTCTTCTTCTTGTTTCCCAATATGTTCTTCTCATCTTCTGAACTAAACTTCTTTTTTCCTTCTTACTTCTAATACAATTTTTTCTTGTATTCCCTTCACAAGGCAAATATAAATATTAATAAAAAATACATCCACATATGTGTATATTGATATATATCTTTTTCTAACAATAATTTTTTTGCTACTCAATTTTATTTTTTATTTTCTATTTCTTTAGTTTTTAATTTTCTATATTTATATATCTTTCTTTACTTTTATCTGGTACATAATCCATTCCTTTTTATTAAAAAACTATTTTGCTTAATATTCTTGTTCTCCAACATTAATAGTGTTACTCTATATAAAAAAATGTTTTTGACAGAAAAAACCTGATGATAGAACGTATCTAGTTCCGAAACGTCGTAATTATATTATATTTATATATATATATATATATATATATATATGTATATATGTATATATATATATATATATATATATATATATGCATATATCCTCGTATATTATACAATTTGTTATTTAATTACAAATTTAATAAAAACGTGAAAACTTTTTATTTTTGTGTAATAATTACACAATATTTTTTTTCGGTGTGCAATTTTTAATTAGAAATTGTTTTCCAAAGTCTTTTTCCTTATATTAAAAAATAAGAAACGTGCTCTGTTATAATAAAAAAAGTTTATTGGTTCAGAAGCTTTCTCAGAAAAATGTACAGGGAAATTGTGTAATGAAATATATGTATATATATATATATATATATATATATATAATATAGTATTGGATTTGTAAATATTGTGTTGAGCTTCGAACGAAGAATCCAATGGTAATAAAAACCGAAAAGTTTTTTAAATAGATTTTTAATTATTATCGACGTTTTGAAACCAATAAGTAAAGAAATATGATTCGGACTAAATATAAATAAATAAAAGTAATATATTTAAAAGAAAATATAAATTATTGGATATTTATAAAATTGATAAATTTATTAAAGATAGGAAATTTTACAAAAATATTAATAAATGCATGAGTTATGTAATAAAATTTTGAAATGATTGCAAAATTAAACAAATTCTTAAAGAGTTCGTGAATAATCAATTATTCGGGAAAATAATTCTGTTTTTTGCTTAATTATTTCATATTTTTTTAATTTTATTAGTAACCACAAATTTTTATTTTTTCTTAAGAAAATTGGTTTTGGTTTGCTTATTTCTAATCAAGATCGTGTTTTTTGAAATTTGTCCTGAAAATGGAACGTATCTAGTTCCGAAACGTCGACAGTAAATAAATAAAAAAATGTTTTTTAAAAAAACTTTTTTGTTTTTTTATTACTTTTTGGATTCTTTGTTTGAAGCTCTAGAAAATATTTACAAATCCAAGACTCTACCATCTGTTATATATATATATATTTTTTTTTTCTAGATTTTTACCTTCTTGTCACTAAGCAAACTTTTAATTCTCTGTTCATCACTTTCCGAATTTGCAAATTTTTTCTGCAACCACTTTTCACCAACAGTGTTCAACACATGATCGACATAATCGAAAAAGAATCCTTTCTTTGTACTCTGTATTGTTGCAGCACTACACGTGTCCGTGTAGAAAGGATCTAAATTCCAATCCATGGTTTCGAAAATAAATTTTAAATTATCTAAAAAATAAAAAAAAAATGAAAATTATTAGAACAAGTTGTAATTGTACATTTTACTTTGAAACTAAATTGAAAAGAATAATTGAATTATAATTTATGATTACTATATTTTGGGGATGAAATATGAAAATTGTTATATAGTTCAAGATGTCTAGGGTAATTTGTACATAAATTTACTTAAAATTGATCATTTGTTTGTCAATTATACGTTTGTGAAACTTTAAAAGAAGATAAAAGTTAATAAAGATTTACAATAGTTAAATTCTCAACAAGTCACATTCTAAATAATTTGTGAATAAAATATAGAATTTTCCTATGCTAAACCTTACTCACAAATAATTTCAATCAATAAATAATCCTTTACTATTAATATTGTTTCATAACCTCACTTCCAAATTTTGTGGTCACAAACACAAAACACAATCCGGTTTCGAAACCAAATCACAATTGCATTTCAATTTATTAATTTGGTTTTAAATTAAATATAACTAGTAAATATATTTATTAATTAATTAAAAATATCAAATACTCATAAAATGTTTTAAATTTATAATTGTGTACTGAAACTACTATTGTGTCGAGATTTCGGAGTCTGTAATACTCTCGAAGGACCGAAATAGATTTAACACATGGAGCTGTGGAAATAATTTTACCGGTTGCTTTAAATAGATCAGTTTATAAAAATGAAATGCAATTCGACCAGATTTTTTTTAATATTATTGTTTTAACATAATCGGAACTTATTGAAACTATTATTAATAACTACATCAGTTTTCTGGATGGCAGCCCAAAGAAGTTGTCCCATAGTCATCACTTTGTGATGAATTTTATTGTCACAATTTTTGTAACACTTATGAATTTTTTATTGATGCACAAATTCTGAATAAAGGATATTTTTACACATTGTTTACATTTTCTACTAGTTTACATATGTAACTACTATATTACTTTCTTAACTTCCCGAAGGAGAAGTTTACGTTTCCATCAAAAAATCAGATCAAATCAGATAATTTTATGTTTTCTCGACGTTTTAAGCTATTCCGAATCGAATGAAACCAAATTTTTTGCCTTAAATATATGTTTTCTCAAAAACGACTGGACCGATTTCAAAAATTAAAAGCCATTCGATGTATCTCTATGAGGACTAGCGTTTATCAATTTTGCGCGACAATCAGCCTAACCGTTTTTTTGTAAAAAGCAGAAAAGTGAAAAAAATTTCGTCCACGTTTTAGCTCGCAATTCTGAGTTGATTTTGAAAATTCAAAAACCGTTCGAAAGGTATTGGTAAAGATCGGCCGAAAAAAATCGATGATTTATATTATTATTTTTTTGACGGTAGATACCATAGTCTTATAGATCATACTAAAATATTACGGTCCTACGACAAGTCGTTTAATTTTATAAAATTGTCAAAGTTTGCAAAAATTAGTGTCGTTTTTTTGGCGTTTGTCAAAGTTACAACTTTCATCGACGATTGCTCAAAACGCCATTTTGATGTGGATTATTTTTTGTTAGTTTTGTGCAGCTATCGGCCGAGCCATTTCTTTGTAAATTGGAAAAACGGAAAAAGGTGTTTAACTTTTCGTCCACATTTAAGCTAATACTACAGAATCGATTTAAAAAAATCAAGAACTGTGCGAAAGATATTATTTGAGAATGATACTGATTAGTTTTAGGTGAAAATCTACCGAGCCGTTTTCTTGTAATTAACTGTTGAAAAAAAATTTAAGCCCATTTTTATGGAACTTTTTTTGGCGATATATCGTGGTCTTATAGAACTTACTGAAATATTGCGGCCTTACGACAAGTAGTTTAATTTTAAAAAATCATCAAAATTTGAGAAAATGAGTAGATCTTCTGACATTTGTTAAAATTAAAATTTGACGTTTTACTTGGTATAACGATAGAGTACTTGGTCTTAATGAACATACTAAACCATTAAAGTCCTACGAAAACTGGTTCTATTATAAAAATTATTGATGTTTGAAAATTTGCTTTTAGAAAATACTCCGAGTTAACGTGTCCACTTGGAATATTTTTAATCACTCATAAATTAATTTATTTGTTATTGATTAAGTCGATTATTTATACATATCGGGAAATTCATGTAACTTGTTATACCTATATTTTATACCTCCTAAGATATGTATTGAAACCGACCCAATATCTGTATGTGAACATAATGTTTTATGCATGGCGTCTACGACGACAAATATTGTAATCCGATGCCTGAGACAATTTTGATTAATGCATTCAATTTGGCTAATGGCATGTCCCACTGTGTAAAACTCAAACCAGAGATCGTTTGCTAAAATCTTCAACTTATCATTATTATTATCAACCTAAGTATTATTATTATATAGAGTATCGATATCAGAGTAATGGAGCGATCATGTGAGAGGAAAGTTGGCGGAGCACTCGCCCAAATTAGAACGGAAATTTTCTTCAGAGGCTTTTTTAGTGATTAATTTTTGAGGTAATTTTTTAGAGGAAACATTATACACTTTTCTGGTATTATTTTCTGTTCTAATTCTAAATTATTTTTTAAACTAGTTGGTATTGGTATTTAGCCTTGAATCAAGTTACATTAACTTCCCGATATGTGTAAATAATCGAAACAATCAATAAAAAAAAATTAATTTATGAGTGATTAAAAGTATTCCGAGAGGATTTATTACACCTAATTGAATCGTAAACTCGGAGTATTTTCTAAGAGCAAATTTTCAAAAATCAACCATTTTTATAATTGAACCGGTTTTCGTAAGACTTTAATGGTTTAGTTTATGTTCATTAAGTACTCTCTCGTTATACCAAGTAAATCGTCTAATTTTAATTTTAACAAACTTCAAAAAACTACTCATTTTCTCAAACTTTGAATTTTTAAAATTAAACTACTTGTCGTAAGGCCGTAATATTTCAGTAAGTTCTATAAGACCATGATATATCGCCAAAAAAGTTCCATAAAAATCGGCTTAAATTTTTTTTGAACAGTTAATTACAAGAAAATGGCTCGGTAGATTTTAACCTAAAACTAATCAGTATTATTTCCAACTAATATCTTTCGAACAGTTTTTGATTTTTTAAAATCGGTTCGGTAGGATGAGCTTAAATGTGGACGAAAATTTAACACTTTTTTTCAAATTACAAAGAAACGGTTTGGCAGATCGTCTCACAAAACGGACAAACTATAGGGCTTATTGAGATTCATCGAATGGCTTTTAAATTTCTGAAATCGGTTCAGGCGTTTTTGAGCAAACGTTTATGAACGGTCTAATTTTGACAAATGCCAAAAAACGATACCAATTTTTGCAAACTTTGACGAATATTTAAAGCTAAACGAGTTGTCGTAGGGCGGTGATATTTTAGTATGATCTAGAAGTCTATGGTATCTACCGTCAAAATAATAAAAATCGTCGAATTTTTTTTTTTAATTTTATTACAAGAAAAACTAATCAGCACGATTCCCAACCAATATCTATCGAACGGTTTTTGAATTTTCAAAATCGATTCAGAATTGCGGGCTAAAACGTGGACGATTTTTTTTTTTACTTTTCTGCGATTTCGCAAAACTCAAAAACCCTAGTCGTCATCGAGATACATCAAATGGCTTTTAAATTTTTGAAACCGGTTCAGCCGTTTTTGAAAAAACGTTGATCTACAGCAAAAAAATCTGTTCACATACACACACACACACACTTTTTTCAAATTTGGTCTCATTCGATTCAGAATGGCTTGAAACCTCCAGGAGAAAACACAAAATTAGCGAATCTGATTTTTTGATGAAAACATAAACTTCTCCTTCGGGAAGTTAATTATTGGCAAACTAATCAAGTATTTTTCAACCCGACTGATTTTTCTAATTCCTTTTTATATTTCACAAAAATATATTATTAATATTTTCATTTGTCCGAAAGCAATCAATGTTGGAAGCAAATAATAATAACAGAATCTGATGAATGGAGAGTAGATGAAATCTACTCCGTTTTTTTCTCTGATTCATTGTAGATTGTTTTATTTCATTTTTATTTAGCTCCAGGATATAAAACGTGGTGTTTACAATCAGAATATTTGTAAAGTATTGTATTTCGTTCGTTATTTTTCATCATCTTCATGTTGGATTTAATTTTCTCTTCTTGGAGGGATTGATGATGGAGTTTTTATTTGTATATTACTTGTGGAAATGGAGGAGATATTGATAAGAATATTTTCATTAAAAAGTATTATGTATGGGAAATTCTACGTAGCTTTATCGAAAAGTCTATTTCCTAAGGAAATAAAAAGAATTCGATTCTGGTGTACGAAGTATCAAGAATTAGTAAATCGGATTTTTTTGGGAAGATAATTAATAGTGAATAATCCATTCTATTTGTATGAAAAAGATTTCAAGTAATTGTATCAGGTTTATAACGCTAAAGATCATATTTTCAGATATAAATCCATTTAATCTTTTATACGAACGTTAAGGACATAATCTTTCCCATGGACATCCTTATTCCTTCGGGTCCTTGAAGGATATTATTATACTAATGCGGTATTTATAATGTGCAGTCCAAAGCTTATTAACAGACAGAAGAAATATAATATTTTCTAATCTTTATATATACATAATGTATATACATATATATATATATATATATATATATATAATTATCATAATTGATATCAATTAATACATCAATGATAATAAAATTATTACGATGGCATATAATTTGCTCTATGTTCTTTTATGTTCATGATGACATTAAAATGATATTGATTGCATAAAACAATGTGAATCTGTTTTAATGAAAATAGAAAGCTTTTCGAAATAATACGAAATGCAATTAGAATTATGTCATAAAAATCATTTTGTGGTCACATGTTTTCATATTAACTAAATACTGTAATTGATGTTCGATTTAGAAATATGTTATAACAATATTTTATATAATATATAAATAAAGACAGATAATGTTGATATGTAAAAATAATAGAACGATTGAAAAGTTAGTGTTTTTTAT